CCGGGCGGTTTGACGACAACCCACAGGGCAGGTATTACTCCAACACGAATGGTTTGGACACACAGGGCAGGTATTACTCCCAGATGAATGGTGTACAATCACAGGACTGGTATTCTGCGAACATGAGTGTGGGAGATTGGCACCATTTCTACCGTCTTCGCCAGCAAGAAGCTATCAGAGAGGCCTGGAGAAGCTCTTACTATTAACTTTAGCCTTGTGCTGCAGAGCCCATACAAATACATGGCTTGCACATACAGTACCACCTATATAGTGCCCTGTATATGTACGATTTAAGGGGTATTTCTCTTGCAGCACATCACACCGCAGCAAAACACAACGATTGCGGAAGTAACTATGCCACTACTTGGCAAAAAAGTCAAGGGTCTGTGACCTTATTAAGACCTCAAATTCTTTGAAGTAATGTGTAAAAATGCCAGCAGGACAAAGGTTATAGATGTTGTGTCTGAAGATGTTGGTTAAGTCTGCAGGTCAAGGAAATAGCACCTTAGGTTTGTTACTGACCATTAAGTAGTGAAGTCAGTGAGCGAAGGTTCCTTGCCACCCTATCCTTGCAGCATAAGACCAGGCTGCAAAATGTGCTGATTTGGGGGAAAAACCATCAAGATATTTGATCATGATGACCATTCTTACTGATATGTAAGACCATAAATCACTGCATAATACTTCAAGCAATGTTCACTCATTAGCGCAAATTCTCCTTTGTTTTGTCAGTTTTGAATTCTTAGAATTAACAATCATGCACTTACTACAGTTTGTTAATATCTTAACTAATCGTAGCCTTTAACTAACCAATGTTTATCCTAAGACCAATTTACCGTAAATCACGTTATATCTGTTTTTTTATTTACACGTTTTTCGCAGCCACTTCTGTACCACAAGTTTATCACGTATTTGACATCACATCCTGTATGCAATGGCGTCACATCCTGTATGCAATGACATCACTTCCTGTATGCAATGACATCACATCCTGTACATAGTGACATCACTTCCTGTATGCAATGACGTCACTTCCTGTATGCAATGACGTCACTTCCTGTTTGCTACCAAGATGTCCAATCAGGATTATGAGTTTATGCCTACCCTTTACATTACTTCCTGAATTCAGTGACATCACTTCCTGTATGCAATGACATCACTTCCTGTATGCAATGACATCACTTCCTGTATTCAGTGACATCACTTCCTGTATTCAGTGACATCACATCCTGTATGCTACCAAGATGTGATTACTGTAGGGCCAAGTCAAATCTAAGTGTTGTTTGTGGCTTAGACCATGTTCAGCCAGGAAAGTTTAGGACTTCTACATTGTTACTTCAATCGAGTTCAGAACAACAAAAACTTAAATGTTCAGATTTAGGATGTTGGTAATGTACCATGTAGCTAGGAAGGAAAAGACGTTCAATAAAGACATGAAGTCTTTAGAAGTTTTGTTTTTGACTTTTTTTTCATACCATTTAATGTTACAGCTAGGGAAATGCTTTCTGCCATCATAATGACAATCTTGTTTTTCTCATTTACCTAAAATACTATTGGTGTGATTTTCATGTGAATATGTGTGTGTGCATGAGAAAGACTCAAAAAGACATTCACGTTTCACGGTAAAGAAAAACGTGTATTCACTAAAGTTCAATACATACTTACTTACTTGTACTTGTACTTTCAATACATACAGTGAAATAAAAGTTAAGTCGAAGCATGTCATGGACATACATGTATATGTAATTTTACATATGATTTTACATTCATCGTCTCTGTGAAATACCTGCAGTTGATTGCAAGTATATATTTCTTTCAAATCCCAGACATTCCATCGTCAAATCCACTTGTCTCATGCCACATGCACTGATTTAATTCTGCCTCAGGTCTCGAAATTAACTTTTCTTCCTATTGTCCCTGCACTGTCCCAAAAATTAATGTCAATTGTCCCGATTTGAGGATGAACTGTCCCAACCTGTTTTTTCGGAAAGTTTGTTTGACTTCAACTTCAAGTCAACTTTATGTTGCTTATATGTTCACTCCAGGCGAATTATAATTGCAGAGTAGAGAGGAAATTTGATAAACAAAACAAGGGCTGACATTCTGATGTCAATTGCTTTTTTATTGTCCCAAAAATGTCCCAAAGTGTCTTTTTAGTTAACCCAGGCTAAAGTTTAGTGGTCAGTGGCCATTGGACTAGCATTAATTTGGAGCCCTGTCAGCAACAAGTTGATTTACATGTACAAATGAAGCTTGATTACATTTTCAAATTGACTCCTCTAAAAGAATTTATCATTAGTTCAATTTCTGTGTATGTACAAGTTCCAATCTATTGTATCTGCTACAATTGTTTCAAACTACGTTTGGTTTGGTTTAATTTCTATTAATGACCATGAAAATGATCATTCTGGCATACTCTTTTTCACCTTAGACTTCTATATACTACTACTAGTGTATATTTACATTTCACCCATACTATAGTAAATGTATTGTTTTCTCCTGCCATTTCGTCAAATGGATTCAATTTCTTCACTTTTTGGCCAGATGACCTGAGATTTGGCATGCAGGTAAAGTGGACAAATACCATCATCCTTTTTTAAAAATCTCTATCAGGCTTTTGCTAAAGTTTTAGAATGGTTTTATTTGGTTTTTACCATATATGGTATGCATGACCATATTTAGCACAAGTGGCATGCATGACCATATTTGGCACACATGACCTTTCTCATCAGGTCGGAGTAGTTTCTCCTTGCTGATTGGCTGCTGGGATGTGATCTAACTTTGGATAATCAAACAGATACAGGGTTGTATTTAAAGTTAGGGTGGTGTGGATTACATGGTGAATGTGGAAATTTGGAATGGGGGGAAGAATGGGTGAAATGTGCTGCATTTGCTCTTGAGTAAAATTGGCCTTTCTAGTTTAATATTTAGGTTTCTTTGTCACTCATCGGTTGTCTAACATAACCACATTGACATTGATGTGGAGATTTACTTCTACATAGAATAAGTTTCTGGTGTTTAAGTCATTTTAAATTTAATGTTGTATCGACTGTCGCACTAGAACAACAGATTTGAACTGATGCAAGTCTCCACAACTGACGAACTACTTACTAATAGATACATTATAATTTCTTACACTCTAAATTTTGAGGCCTTCAAAACTACAAGTTATTTTTTGTAACCTTCATACCGGCTTTTTATTCTTTTTAAAATTCCAGCGTGCTGGTAATCATTTGACTGCCTGTCTTGACTGTCTTTGTTAGATATTAGTAGTTAAAATCTTTGGTTGTTTACATTCTTTTTAGGAGCCTCCTAAAATACAGCAGGCCTGGTGCAACTTTTCACTGCGCGGAGTCGCCAGAAAAGCGAAATAGTTATTGAAAATGACAATCTAGATGAGAAAATGTCAATTATTTATATTTACAGGTTTGGCGCAAAAATCTTACATAAGACCATCTTTATTTAATTATATGAATTTTCGGCCATCTTTGTTAGCATTAATATTTTTAATGTCTTGGGGTGGTGGGACTACGGCGCATAGACATGTCAACTTTGTGTATTAAAATGTTTAAGTGTACTCTTTTGTTGTGTGGCGCTGTTAATATAAGTTGTAAACTTTGGTGCAGCGTCACACTGTCCATGTTATGTTTTCGTGTTTTGACGAATAAAAAAAATCTTTATAGAGGCGATCATCCTTGTTTTCACATCTACTTTTGGCTTTAAGGCAGCTAGCACTTCATTGTGGGACGGATTTGCAACTGTTGGAGATTCAGTGATGGCAGGAGACTGACCGCCCTGTCTGATCATGACCACTGGTCATTTCCATAGATGTTGGGTTCTTTGGTGATGTTTTTGCATCTACATACATAGGATTTGGCTGTAAGGCAGCTAGAACTTCGTTACGTGACAGATTTGCAACTGTTGGAGATTGAGCGTTAGCCTGCCCTATATCATATTGACCACTGGTCATTACAGTAGCTGTGGTGTTTGTGTTGGATTCAGTGTTGGTCTGAGACCGACCTTGCTCTGTCTCAAAATAATTGTTTTCAAAATCGTCATTCTGGTAATAATGATCAATGGCCATTACAGTAGCTGTGGTGTGTGTGGTGGATTCAGTGTTGGTCTGAGACTGACCCTGCCCTGTCTGATCATCACCACTGGTCATTACAGTAGCTGTGGTGTTTGTGTTAGGCTCAGTGATAGCCTGATACTGACCCTGCCCTGTCTTAACACGTGGGCAGTCAACATTTTCATACTGGTGATAATCACCACTGGCCATTACAGAAACTGCTGTGTTACCAGCATACATATGATTTGGCTTTAAAGCAGCTAGCACTTGGTTATGGGATAGATTGCCAATGTTCAGACATTGAATGTTACCCTGCCCTGTCTTAACACGCGGGCAGTCAACATCTTCATACACATACTGGCGATTATCACCACTGGCCAATACAATAGCTATGGTGTTTGTGTTGGATTCAGTGTTGGCCTGAGACTGACCCTGTCCTGTCTGATCATGACCACTGGCCACTACAGACGCTGCTGTGTTTGTGTTGCTCCCAACAACAACGCCGGGATTCAGCCCTACTGGAGGATTCCTAGTCCTTCTCCTGTTCCAAATCACAACCAAGACGGTCCCAATCAGAATAGTACCAGCAAGTGAACCACAGGCAGAGCTAGTGACAGCAAGTATTGGGAAACTGGGAGCAGATTCTGGTTTGTCCGAAGTGATTTTAAGGGGCGAAGTTAGCGTTGGTCTTGTTTTGCCTGCTGGGCTTGTTGTTGAGTCTGGATCTGACATTGGGGCAGTATTAATGAAGTACTCGTAATCGTGAGAGTTTTTTGTGGGGTTTGCTATTGGTCCGACAGCGGTGGTTTTAAAGGCCGATAGACCTTCTGTATTGCCAACGGAAGGTGTTGTTACTGCAGCCGAAAAGCTACCAACAGTTAGCGGTGATATGGTTGCCTCTTTACATGTCAATTCTTTAGGATCGACATCT